CCGAGAATTTAGAAGTTTTACGAACTATAAATTTGGATGGAAACAGATGTGATACGCGAAGTACTCCGATGACAAGAGAAGGCAAAACTTTTAGAAAGACCTTTTTCTAATTGTCATAGTATGAACAATATCTAAGTCCGTATTTTCTGTCATGCAAGGCTTACCTTGCTGCTTTATAGTGTACATGCATATATACCATCATGTATGCGTATATGCAGATACGCAACTAAACAAGAGCAAAAAAATACGGATACATTTTATAATAGACAAATTTTAAGATAGAGACTATTGTCATTATATTATTACTTTATTTATGTAGACTGAATTGTCCTGTCCTGTCCAAGTCCATCTTGTCATTTGTTTCATTGTGTTTGTAAACGGATATTATAGACATTGTTTCTAAACAATGGAAGTTGTGAAATGGAATAACGAATTTCTGTAATGTTGACTAGTTACTGTAAGATGCATGTATATATTACTTCCAGAGAACTAGACTTATCTTCGGTTCAGAAAAATGTCTGATGCTTATATAAAACTATTGGATATGTCTGTACTGCAGCTAATTTCATAAGAAGTTGGCGTAGCATACTAAACATTGAGGCGAGGTATATATAACCAGAGGAGTGGGAGTGTCAAAAAGTTAAATGTATAAGGTCGAATAAGCAGAAAATAATACAACAAACATCACTAGTATCAGGCTTCAGTTTAGCAACAAAAGGGACGAGAGAATATGGAAAACATATCAACATAATGGACAGTTCTGAGATTTTGGAAAGTAATGGCAAATCTGGGTAACTGGTTCATATTATTCTTAATGTTGGATTATTACATTTAGTTATGGTACCGTCTGTGGCTGTCCGTCTTTTAGTACCAGTTAGTCAATGATTTTCTCTATGGAATGAAAGTGGGTGCTGGTATGTTCTGTAGTTAGTTGTTGTTGTTGTTGTAGAGCTTAACGCAACTTTTTCAGCACACGATAGGCTATAAATGGTGGCAGATATTAATGGTGGAGGAAAAAACGAAAATCCTCGGAAAAAAAACACCGACCCATGAAGAGCTACTGGCAAGCTTTCTCACATAATCACATTCAGAGACTCGAACCCACGCAGACAGAGGTGAGATGGCAGTCTCCGCTTTAGACCACTGGTATCGGGTATTGAAATACAAAAGGACATATATACAATTTGAGGGCTATTAAGAATAGAAAAGATAGAAGACGTAATGGACGTAGATATGGAGTGGAGAAACAGGTAAATATTATTAGAGCGAACAGTCAAATCGTGGAACCATGTAGCTAAACTATAGTTTAGAACATGGAGAAGTGGACAGAACATTAGGATGTGTATTCATATATATATATATATATATATATATATATATATATATATATATATATATATATATATATATATATATATATATATATATGTGTGTGTGTGTGTGTGTGTGTGTTTGAACAATCTTGCACTTCAGCATAAAAGTTGTTTTTAAACTGATTTTTTCCAAATGGGTCTAGTGTTGATTAGGACGCAGGTGGTTGGTTTAACTCTGTGATATCATGCAATTTTGTCTAGGTATCGTATCAATATGGAATGATACATGACCTATATATTATCTCAGACTGAAAACTGACGACTCTTTGATTCAGATATAATCATTGCACATGCGTGGTCAAACTTAAAATAAATGTATGTTATCAAAGAATTTGACTGTGCCATAAAAAAAAACGAAGTGGTCACGGTTAGGGTACATCTCCGATTTTGTATTAACCGATATGTGTCAAAGATCACCTCAACACTATGCGATTTATAATGTATTTCAGATTGTTTACTTTGATCCATAAACACGTGAAGAAAACACAACTTTAAAAAAAATACATACGTATTACATCAAATGTGATGCTACTTTATTCCAGCGGATGAATTAAAGGAATCCCACAAATTAGACACAGGCTGTGAAGATTACGTTTCATATGATATCCTTATTCAACTAAATTTTGAAATCATATATCATCAATGTTGCAAGTGTACAATGTATAGTTGCTTTTTTGATATTTGATATCTAGTACATACACTTTACGCTGATGTATGCTTACATCATTCATTTGTATTATAGTGTTTTTATGTGTGATTTGGATTTGTAAGGCAGCTTTAACAATTTTCCACTCGTATAGCTACGATGCATGTCTGCAGCGTGGCAGTTCATAGTGATGTCTATCTAGCACTAGGGCATCATGCTGCAGACATCTTGTATAAAGTTGTATAAAATACCACCCAGTCACATTATCCTGACTCTAGGCCGACCAGTCCTAACACAACTCCTAATTCTCAACGCCAAGCAAGGCAGCTGCTAGTAATAGTTTTGTATGTTGTTAGGTATGACACTGCCGGGTTTTGGAACCCGCGGCCTCCCACATCCCAGGCGGACGCTGTAATCCATTGTATTATATATATATATATATATATATATATATATATATATATATATATATATATATATATATATATATATATATATAAAGAATACAAATCATATGGCGAATAACAACCCTCTCAAGCGTACTGCATCCACCAAGGGATCACGTTTGTCAGGGATTAATTAAAATAGATGCAATAAACTGACGACGAACAGTACGAAACTAGTAACTAACTATCCTAAGCGCTTTCGACTCTTAATGAGTCTTTTTCAAAGGCAAATACAAAACATAGTTACGACAAACAAATAAACACAAAAACGTTGTGTTTGTAAACCTCTACATTTCTGTCTTCACATGTGCTAAAACTATAAATACAACCAGCTTGTATAGACTAGTTGCGTAAACTGAAAACGTTGAATAATTCCCTAAAAGTCTACAAGCCAAAGCGACATCTATTTTTACTTTGTGTACATATGTAACGCAGATTATATCCCGGATATTTGATTCTATACCGGTTATTCTTACAGTAAAAATTGAAGGATAATAAGAAGATTTAGAAAATGTTAAATTCTACTAGTGCATAGTTTTCATTTTCTAGTCTTCTTAGTTTAGACCGCTTGGTTTCAATGTTCTAAGGCGGCGTATCCAGTATGATTCCTTTTCCTTCCTGGTTTCGGAACTCCAGCTGTGGTTGTTAGCAATAGCGATAAGTATTATATCACTGAAAGTGTGGCCAGGGGAGGAGAAGCCCGGTCGCAGAACACTTCTCTTCGTTTCTATTTGTAGAAACCTATTGGTATTCCCACAATGACGTTTTGTTTCTATTTGTGGAAACCTTTTGGTATTCCCACAATGACGCTTTGTTTCTATTTGTGGAAACCTATTGGTATTCCCACAATGACGCTTTGTTTCTATTTGTGGAAACCTATTGGTATTCCCACAATGACGCTTTGTTTCTATTTGTGGAAACCTATTGGTATTCCCACAATGACGCTTTGTTTCTATTTGTGGAAACCTATTGGTATTCCCACAATGACGCTTTGTTTCTATTTGTGGAAACCTATTGGCATTCCCACAATGACGCTTTGTTTCTATTTGTGGAAACCTATTGGTATTCCCACAATGACGCTTTGTTTCTATTTGTGTTGCGTAAGGAAATTGACGTCAGGCTATTATTTCTTAAACAAGACGATACATGAGGGTCAGTAGGGGATTAATATGTAAACATTATAGATAATACATTTGTTTAATAATTAATCGTATGTTATATTTTAAGATTCATTTCTTTTCTACGTTTTGAATGCAATATATCTTTTTGTGCGTGATTTGCATTTTTTACGTAGCTTTACTAATTTTTCAGTCTGTTGTGTGGCAGTTATTAGCAATGTACATTATCCTGACACCAGGCCAACAAGTCCTAACCTCTTGATACTGAGCGCCAAGCAAGGCAGCTGTTAGTAACATTTGTATAAGCTTTGGTATGACTCGGCCGGGGATCGAACCCGCGGCCTTAACATATGAGAAGGACGTTTTAACCACTAGGCCACCTAAGCCGTCCTTGTATGTGGTTTTATTTTCGAAATGTAGCTTGGGTTTAGACAGCTTAATCCACATTTCGTATTAACAGTACTGCCACCATTTTCGTGGTACTAGTCGATTTAAGAGGTAGATCATACAATTGTCATTTATTTCTTGCAAATATAATCATATTTATATAACATAACATTTATTTACTTCATGGTTCATGGTTACAATTTGGGCACTCTCAGTTGTGTAAGAGAAAACCATACAATTCATCCATTCAAAAATAAGTTGTGGAATATTCCAGGTTCTGAGGAGGATTATAATCTATACAAAATAGATAGACGTGTTTATACAATGATATTGACTTGTTCCATATTATCCGGTATCTGTATGTTGATGTTACTGTTATAATATCAGGTTTACAATATTGTGTATACGTATACGTTTTTCAGATATTGCCAGTTTTGATTGCCGACTGTAGTTCTATTAATATGAGAAACAGTCCAGAGTTGCTGTTGAATCAACATTGCACTAAAGTAGTATACGCTAATTCCTTACCTTTCAAGGTAAATGAAGTAAAAAACACACTCATGTTTACAACTACATTTGTAATCGATCAAAGTGCATAGTGATATTCAAAATTATATTTGTAATTTCAGTCCATCTGAATAACAATGGATCAAACCATCAATTCAGACATGTCAGAAATGGAATTTATCATATGAAAAAATATATTTTGTGCACTAATCGACCTCAGCACAAAAAGCATGCTGTTCTTGATTGAGTGCGATGTGTGTGTGTGTGTGTGTGTGTGTGTGTGTGTGTGTGATTTAGATTTTTAGCGTAACTAAGTATCTTGAATGTTTCAGTCATATCGTTACGATGTCTGCAGTGTGACAGATTATATTGCTGTCTTGCACTGGGTTAAAATGTCGCAGGCATGTGGCATGAAGTCCTACCCAGTAACATTATTCTGACACAAGGCCGACCAGTCCTAACACTGACCTCTTAATGCTGAGCGCCAAACGAAGCAGCTGTTAGCACCATTTTGGTTTTAAAAAGTCTTTGGCATGACTCAGTCTATGTTGGAACCCGCGAACTTCCGCATCTGAGGCGAACGCTCTAACCACTAAGCTACCGGGGCGGTCACTCTTCTTGATTGACGTAAGAACACAAGTTTTGAACAATTACACTATGTTATTTTCAACAATTTCTTAGAAAAGGTGTGGCAACTTAAAGTCCCATTGTTGTTGTTGTTGTTGTTGTTGTTGTTGTTGTATGGTTTAACGCAAAGTTTATGCACAAGATAGGCTATACATGGCAGCCAGTGTAAATGCTGGAGGAAGAACCCGGGAAAACCTCGGAAAGAACCACCAGCCCACGAGAAGCTACTTGCAAGCTTTCTCGCATACCCACATTGGCCGAATCTGAGAATCATACCCACGCAGACATAAGTGAGACGGCAACGATCCACAACTGAGAGCACTTTAGATCACTCGGTCACTCTGGCCCCCAAAAATCCTGTGATAATCAGTTTTGCACCTGTAGGTTCAAAAGAATTTTAACCTGCCGGAAGTAAGTAAAATAATTGCGTTCATGTACAGTCATGATCTATGAAAAGAACAGACAAACATCTCAAGACAACCTTAAATAGTCCACGCTGATGTTATATAGTAACCAAGGGCCCGATCTTCAAGGATTAAGTTCGGTTTCTGATCTTCACCCATTTCGAGTCTACTATCATGATGATTTAATAATGATTCCTAACCATTGTTTCATGTTGATTTTAAAAAACTCATTTCATGATTTAAATGTTACTACGCTGCCATTATACTCAGGGACCCAGTTGACAGAGTGGTCTAAAGCGCTTGCTATTACAGATCACAGCCGTCTACCTCACTTCTCACCGAATCTCATGCTGAGCCAACGTGGGTATGTGAGAAGCTTGCCAGTGACTTCTAGTTGGTCGTGGTAATTGCCGTGATTTATTCCGGTTCTTGCTCCCCAAAATATACTGGCTACCAAACTGAGCTTATTGTTGTTGAGAAATGGCGTTAAACTAACAGCTACCATCATTCTATGCCTTGCAGACAATAATACTTCACCCCATTCTGATCATGTTCATGACAACACCTACATGTACCTTTAGCAGCACACTATATCAAACGTGGGTTGTACTTTGACATACATTATTTCATTATCTGTAACTCAATTGATATTAATGAAACAGTAAACTGTTGTTTCTTTAAATATGTCTAAGATTATTTTTAAAGGAACATTTCTATTTTTAAAAGCACATGTCATATATAAACGCGTACTGAAAGCTGATCAATACCTATTTTTCGGGGAATAGTGTTATCGAGAGCAATAATGCGTATGTAAAATTTACCTAGCGTGTGTGTATGTGTATATAATGTTAGGAACAAAGTATGTATCATGTCAGCTGGCACTGTGCCAATCAAGCCGCTGAAGAACAACTAGGCTTGGTTTCTATTTTGTATTGACAACACTTGTCTTGTCAAATACTAGTTTAATTACATATCTACACTGTTTTTTTTGAAGCCGATTAATTATGATAGGTTCATATCTAAAAAGACAATCATAAAAGACAGTCTGAATCTATATTTGCATATGTTACTTTTTCCAGCGAATAAGGGAAAGGGCTAACAGATCACATGCACCAAAGTTCTGTAGCTGTAGCTTGGCACAATCTGTGAACAATTGTTTCAACTTTGTATCAACCGTCAATGTTCAGAGTTAACTCGAAAATAAAATCAAAATGATAACACCAATGCTACGAGTGTATGAAATAATATATATATATATATATATATATATATATATATATATATATATATATATATATATATATATATATATATATATATATACATATATATAGATATATATATATCTATATATATATATATATATATATATATATATATATATATATATATATATATATATATTATTTCATACACTCGAAGCTTATATACAGAGAGAGAGTAATTATGTGGTGTATATTTATAATTTCTATATTTATTTATTTATATAATATTTGTATATTTATAATTTATATTTATATTTCTCTATAATTCATTATATATACCTTGATTTCTTTCTTAGAAATCCGGAATGACTGTGTAAATAAATGTGAACTAATTACTAGTTCTTCACGCGAATGATTATACTACACAGGTGAGTTAACAATTATCTAACCTGTACGATATATACGTATATATATATATATATATATATATATATATATATATATATATATATATATATATATATATATATATATATATATATAATTTAGAAACATGATCTTACAGACCATATCCTATCAGCATACTTAAAGAAGTATTCTATGAACGATAGTAGCAACTGCATATTAATATTACATGACATATTTATTAAATTTTAGCCGTATAAGTTATTTTTTGCTACTGTCGAACAACACCAGCCGTACATGTGCCATGTCCCTCAGCTCTACATACAGAGCTACATTTAGATACATAAAGCTTGGAGGAAAAGTTCTGGTACTTGCTTGTTTACCAAGACTTTATTGAATAATGACCAACCCCTTTAGGTGGGGCGCTGGTGCCTGGGGTTGTGCTGGAGAGACATTTTAATCATTTAAAAAAGACTTCATTTTAATGTCTGCAGGAAATAGCGACATTTTTTAGTGCCTTGCTCACATTTGTTGAACTTGATCTGGTTGTATTCGAGCGAAGTTCGATGCAATATTGAGACTAAAACATACATCCATATCAACCTATAGGAACCTGTTGCTTCATAGCTCATTTTGAGTAACTTAGTAGTTTATCGTGATGTTGTGAACCATTCTTGTTCACGTTGTGAACCATTCTTATTCAGTTATGTCACTGTGGCGGGTTCTTTTTCGATGCTCAAACTTGCCTTGATATTGTTATATGCGTTGCGCATAGCACAAATCCTCATCAGTTTGTCGTTGAAGATTTATTTAAGAAACCATTTGTCTTTAGTGTCCAGTTTCGCACTTCCAAGCGTGTCTTCATGAGGAAGTTATTACACTGATGCTATTCATTTATCAACCTATCTATCTATCCATTAATCAGTTACTCACCAAGCATTGTTACAACACGTCATTTGGGTAGACTGAGTATATATATATATATATATATATATATATATATATATATATATATATATATATATATATATATATATATATATATATATATATATATATATATATATATATAAGATGAATTGAAAAGAAAGAACAAATATAATCCTTTTAAAGCATATTAGCCTGAAGAAAAAAATAACAGAATTACAGCGCAATCTAAACCTACGGTCCTAAACTAATCGCTCAAAAGATATTGCGGTTACATATTTTTAAAAGAGATTTAATATTACACGAGAATTTATATCTCGCCATATGCTAATATACTGAAATTTGCATTCTGTGAAAACTGTCACAGGTGTATATTATTTTTTTAAATGAAATTGCATACATTTACACTCACTGAAACAAACATATTTGAGCAAATCCGATCAAAGTTAAAATGTACATACGTATGTAGATGTACATCTAAAAATAAATTTGCAAGTATTATGTATGTGTGTCTGTGTGTGTTTCTTCAATCATCAAGTCAAAAGTTGAAAAACTAGATACTTTTAGAAAAAATAATACAACAACTTTTACAACCCAGTCTATGGACTGTAGCTGAAGTAAAGTCTTTGTTGCAACATAATAATGTTGTTATACTGTATTTGTATTTATTGCAACAGAATAATGTTGTTATACTGTATTTGTATTTATTGAAACTGATTAATGTTGTTATGCTGCATTTGTATTTATTGCAACATAATAATGTTGTTATACTGCATTTGTATTATTGCAACAGAATAATGTTGTTATACTGTATTTGTATTTATTGAAACTGATTAATGTTGTTATGCTGCATTTGTATTTATTGCAACAAAATAATGTTGTTATGCTGTATTTGTATTTATTGCAACATAATAATGTTGTTATACTGCATTTGTATTATTGCAACAAAATAATGTTGTTATGCTGTATTTGTATTTATTGCAACAGAATAATGTTGTTATAATGTATTTGTATTTATTGCAACAGAATAATGTTGTTATACTGTATTTGTACGTTATTTAATAAAGTAATGTTGTTATGCTGTATTTGTATTTATTGCAACAGAATAATGTTGTTATACTGCATTTGTATTTATTGCAACATAATAATTTTGTTATACTGTATTTGTATTTATTGCAACAGAATAATGTTGTTATACTGCATTTGTATTTATTGCAACATAACAATGTTGTTATACTGCATTTGTATTTATTGCAACAGAATAATGTTTTTATACTGTATTTGTATTTATTGCAACATAATAATGTTGTTATACTGCATTTGTATTTATTGCAACAGAATAATGTTGTTATACTGTATTTGTATTTATTGCAACAGAATAATGTTTTTATACTTGTTATACTGTATTTGTACGTTATTTAATAAAATAATGTTGTTATGCTGTATTTGTATTTATTGCAACAGAATAATGTTGTTATACTGCATTTGTGTTTATTGCAACATAATAATGTTGTTATACTGCATTTGTATTTATTGCAACAAAATAATGTTGTTATACTGTATTTGTATTTATTGCAACAGAATAATGTTGTTATACTGTATTTGTATTTATTGCAACAGAATAATGTTATTATACTGTATTTGTACGTTATTTAATAAAATAATGTTGTTATGCTGTATTTGTATTTATTGCAACAGAATAATGTTGTTATACTGTATTTGTATTTATTGCACCATAATAATGTTGTTATACTGTATTTGTATTTATTGCAACAGAATAATGTTGTTATACTGCATTTGTATTTATTGCAACATAATAACTTTGTTATACTGTATTTGTATTTATTGCAAAAGAATAATGTTGTTATACTGCATTTGTATTTATTGCAACATAATAATTTTGTTATACTGTATTTGTATTTATTGCAAAAGAATAATGTTGTTATACTGCATTTGTATTTATTGCAACAGAATAATGTTGTTATACTGTATTTGTATTTATTGCAACATAATAATGTTGTTATACTGTAATGTATTTA